TGCGGATGTTTCTGGAGACCGCGCGTTACGTGGCTGAAGGTTCGTACGGCCGCGTTTAGTTTTTTTCGAGCAAACGCTGCGGGGCAGTGTGGCGCTGCTCCACTCCTCCTCTTCGTGCTCGCCGGTCGACGGCTCGCCTCCGAGTGGAGGGCTTTCCCGCTGCTACCAGTTCGCCCGCTTAGCTCGCAGTGTTACGTTGGCGGAGCGAAGGTCTGGAGGAGGAGGAGGAGTCGGCCGCGGGGACGAGCGGGATCGGGTCCGGGGAAGAGCGGTTCCAGAAATCAGGTAAGATTAAAAACATAATCCAAAAAATAAGGGCGAGAACGCGGCGGGATCCGAAAACGCGGTCGAAATCAAAGACAAGGGCTTTGGCTTTTTTTTTTTCTGGACGGCTTTTGCAAACCGTCGCTTGGGTTTAGGGAAAGAGGAGGAGGAAGAGGAGGGCGGCCGGGGCGGCCGATCAGCCGGCCGCCCTGTCGATCGTTCGGTCGTTCGTTCAGCCAGCCAGTCGGACGGATGGTCGCTCCACAGCGACCTCCGGTGGCTTTTCGCGCGAGAACAGCGCGGGCGCAAATGGCGCGCGCTCCCGAGAGGCGCTCGAGACGCGAAAAAGCGCGCACTTTGTAATGTATAGCTAATTGTAGGTCAACTGACGAGTGACTTAGTATTGACTTAGTATAAGTTGAAGAACTAAACATTTTCAGTAAATTAGCTTAAGATTTTATAATTGGGTAAACAGAACTTTAATGGTAGAAATAGCTTAAATTTGTAAACAAAAACTGCTTAAAATATTAAGTTACACCAACCAATAAATTTGAGCAAAACCATTTGCTACAATACCTAAAAAAATTAAGCATCACCAACTAAAGATTTTTAGGTAATATTGCTTTAAATTTAATGTGAAAATTGCTTAAAAAGAGGGATGCAAAAATGATGCACTATATTCTTTAGTAAATCTAGCATATTATTTTTTTTTACTAAGCGGAAATTCAAACCGTTTCCCTGATGACGTTTGACAGTCGCCAGATCAGTGAAATAAACGACTGAATTATCAAATAATACCTGCCGTGAGTGTAACTGCATTTACCATCGGGAGGCGCTATAATCACTCTCGTAGGAGAATTTCGCTTTCACCATCCAAAATAATTAAAGTTTTCCAACATGTGCACCCGATAGCTCCGCCCCTTCCGCTACGTGAGCAAACCTGCGGTCGTTGAGTGCGTGAAGTGTCCATCACTACACACCTCACTTTAGAAATTTGAGAGAAATTTAAGATTTGAAAAGGCATACACCGCAGCCTCTGGTGGATTTACTGGAGAACAGCAGGTGTGAATGGCACTCGCGAGAGAAATTAAGATCTGAAAAGGCATACACAGCAGCCTCTGGTGGATTTGTGAAAACAAAATCTGCCAAAAACGTACCTCCGGGGACATATTTGGCGCTCTCCAGAAATGTAGATGTGGGTACGTATCAATAATCAACCTAGGTTGCAGCATGTACTTTAAGTGAAAGACACAGTATGTTCACTTTTCTCGCAGTACCTCAGCATGTGGGTCTTCCCAGGAATAGTTGTCTGCAGGGTTGAGCAAAGCTTCTTTCTTGCTGACCTCTTCATCTATAGCCTTCAGCGGGGACACAATTAAGAGTTGTAGATGAAGCTTTAATCCTTTAATAATCTTGACCTTAACAAGGGTAGTAAAGTGAATCCCAAAGGTCTATCCGTGTCTACATGGCCATTTCTGACCCTGTCCACTGTGACTTAACCTCTGCTATAATGTCTAATGAGGTTTGCGCTGTGGTGACGCTGTTAAAGCTTCTTTTATCCGCTTATGAATAATTCCAGACTGATGTCAATAACACTCTAAAATAATGGTCCATTGGTTAATGTACATACTAACATGAATTAGGAATGGACAATCTGTATTAATCATAGGTAGACATTTACTATTGCGTTATTAAAATATAAAGTGGTGCTTGTTCATTTTGGTTAATGCACTGTGGTAACAAGAACTAACAACGGACGACAGTGTTTTCATTTGCTTACATTAACTAATATAAATGCTGTAATAAATGTATTGTTCATTGTTTGTTTGTGTTAGTAAATATATCAACTGTGACATTTACTAACCAACAATTATTTTTACCCCTTGACTGCCGATGGCTGAACGCTTAATGTTTACTTTACTAAATTGCAATGAAGACATAATCTGATTAAGACAAACTGTACACTATCTGATAATTTAAGTTTTATGAACAACAAATAACATCTTGACTTCTAGTTGATCATTTGGCATCAGAAGTGGCTTATATGAAAGGCAAAGGCCTCTAGATTACGCTTATTTGACCAAATAAAATAGGATCATGCCTTGATTTCAAATGATTTCATTAGGACAGTAAGGTCTGACTCTGCTTAGACAAAAGTTTTATCACTGAACAGAAATAATGTCCAGTATAGAATATAAAGTCCTGCTGCAGTGGAGACAGAATGAATATTGTGTCTGACTCCATCATGAGCTTGGAGGACTGCATCCATACATCTCTGACATGACTCAAATCACTGATTAATAAAGTCATCTGGAATGGCAAAGAAAGCGTTCAGCAGGACTCCCAGAGTTCATCAAGACTCTTTGAATTCATCTTCAATGCCTCCTCCTTTATCTTACCCCAGACATGCTCAATAATGTTCATGTCTGGTCACTGGGCTGGCCAATCCTGGAGCAGCTTGACCTTCTTGGCTTTCAGGAGCTTTGATGTGGAGGCTGAAGTATGAGAAGGAGCGCTATCCTGCTGGAGAATTGTCCCTCTCCTGTGGTTTGTAATGTAATGGGCAGCACAAATGTCTTGATACCTCATGCTGTTGATGTTGATCATCCACTCTGCAGATCTCACACACGCCCCCATACTGAATGAACCCCAAACCATGATTTCTCCTTCACCAAACTTGACTGATTTCGGTGAAAATCTTGGCTCCATGCTGGTTCCAGTAGGTCTTCTGCAGTATTTGTGATGATTGGCATGCAGGTCATGAGAAAAATCCACCTTCTGACACTTTTCTAAATGATCAACTAGAAGTCCAGTTATTATTTGTTGCTCTTACAACTGGGATCCACAACGACTTTTGTCAAGTAGTGTATATCATTGGAAAGGTCTAAGACTTCCGGATATATATTTTACCACTGTTTTAGTGGTATATAAGAATAAATAGGAGATCAAAATCCATTTACTATCATCCTTCAACCAGTGGGACCATTTACGGTTATTTATTTAAAGCATAATATGGTGTTCTAAACATGAAGCAATCAGGACAAACTATATATCATTTGAAAGCTTAAAATGTCTAGTTTCCATATATATGACTGATAGATATTACAAACAAACTCATACAACTTGTTAAACTTGCAGCAAAGATACTCATCAGAGTTGTAAAGCATTACTTTGCTACAGCAATCTTTATGCACAATAATTGTAGATGTTCTTTAGAGGCCAATTTCAAATCAATTACCACCAAACTACCCATATTACCTTAGAATTGTATGTCTACCTTACAAATATTGTCAAAGGTATGTCAAAATATGGTTTATATTTCTCAAAACATACGTCAAAATTTTTTTGGGGGGGACTCTTATATGCTCACCAATGTAAAGTGTATGTCATTTGGTGGTCATGTTTGGTACTGCAACCAAACAAAATCCTACCGAAAGCCTATTTGTTGAAATATCAACATAAATTGTTCAGATATTTAAGCTTTCTGTAACATTTGGGTTAAAACTAGTATTTTGTAAACTATATATATATATATATATAATGTAATATAATAAATAATATATTTATTTTACTATGTTTACAAACTGAGAGAAACATAACTCTGAGCTACAATCTGACAAGTGTCTTCTTTCCAGTGAGACCAAGTTTAAATCTATGCACCAAAGCATTGAAGATTGGCGTTCATTTAAGTTGAATATGTAATTATAATGGTGCATTCACACAGGGCTTCAGCGTCAACACTTGACAGAGGGCGTGTCTGAAGTTGGGGCTGACGCGATCATCATAGCAGCGTCAGCCAATTAAATTGGTCAGCAACTGGTTACTGTCTGAGCTGGTGTATTTGCATACAGCCATTTGATTGGCTGACGCTTCCATCAATGCATTTCAGCAACGCCTGACGTCACCCATTTAAAGTGAATGGGAAGCATTGAAGCTGACGCCCAGTGTGCATGGGGCGTAAGTCTATGCTCAAAAAGTAGAGGTGACATTTAAAAGATTTAAAGTATGATAAAAATCAAGGTAATACTTTGTACCAATACCAAATATTGTCTCAATTTCCATTATTAACTACTGGCTTATTATCTGCTTATTATTAAGATATTGGCTGATTATTGTAAAATATGATCTTATTCAACAGTGCATGCCTAATCCTACCCAATACCTAAACCAAAATACTACAGTAACAACTACTAATAAGCAGTAAATTGGGAGTTTATTACTAGTGAGAGTTGTAAAGTATGACCAAAGATAATGATGCATGTTTATCCCACTCTAATAGCATCTATTGACTATCTTTAATGACATTACAATTGCACAAAATGTGATACAAACACTAATGCAATGGCTTATTCTGAGAGCGAATGAATTTAGAAATAGCTGCCATTCAGAGTTGTAATGAGTAATTAGATAAAGCAGCTCACCTGCTGTTCCAGAAGCAGCGTATTGGTAGGAATAGCGGCAAGTGCCTTGTAGGTGGATTTGATCTTGTATGTCTATAAGAGGAAAGGTTGACTGAGAAGTCATAAAAACCACAATTACAAAACCAAAATAATCCACAGCTGTGCAGCAAGGGTGGGCGTTATGAGTAATCCCCTTATCAAGAAGCAGTCATATCATGATGCAGTTATTATTGCAAGGAAATATGAGTCTATTCTAAAAGCAAACATGCGATACTTGAAACTTTTTCTTCATTGGGGCATGGATGAATGTAAAATGCTAACACACATGCCTGCTGACCATTAAAGAAACACTCCTCTCTTTTTTTGGAAATACTCTGTCCACAATGTACTGGCAAAAAGTCAAGATAACAATTAGATTGCTTTAAAGAGCTCATAAAATAAAAATAAAGTATAGTTAGTATAAGTATTGTTCAACCCAGGCTCATTGTGGAAACGTAGCCCTGCGGACGTTTCTAGAGACAGCGAAATACGTCCCGGGAGGTACGTATTCAAGCAGTTTTTGTTTTCGTGAATCCGCGAGAGGCCGCTGTGCGCGCTTTTTTGCGTCTCGAACGCCTCTCAGGAGCGCAGGCTGTTCGCGCCCGCGCTGTTCTCTCGTGATAAGCCGCCGGAGGCCGCTGTAGAGCGACCATCCGTCCGATTGACTGACTGAATGACTGAACGATCGAATTGGCGGGCGGCCAATCGGCCGACCCAGCTGCCCTCCTCCTCTTCCTCCTCCTCCTTCCCTAAACCCAAGCAACGATTTGCAAAAGCCGTCCAAACAAAAAAAGCAAAAGCCCTCGTCCGATTTTGACCACGTTTTTTGGATCTCACAGCGTTCTCGCCCCATCGCGAACTCGTTCGCTTTTATTTTTTGGATTCTGTTTTTCATCTTACCTGATTTCAGGAACCACTCTTCCCCGAACTCGATCCTCAGGCCTCCGCTCTGCCGACGTAACTCTGCGAGCTAAGCGGACAAACTGGTTTCGGAGGGAAAGCCCTCCACACGGAGGTGAGCCGTCAGCCAGTGAGCGCATAGAGGAGGAGCGGAGTCACATCGCCCCATAGCGTTCGCTCGAAAAAACAAAACACAGCCATACGTACCACTGGCCACGTAAATCGCAGTCTCCAGAAACGTCCGCGGGGCTACGTTTCCAGAACGAGCTTGGGTTGGTATTTTTTAGTTTTTAAGATTTCTATAATCTTAGTCAATTCAAATGTTTTCACTTGATTGAATGGGTGTTATCAGTGGTTTACAGCTGATAGATATGGGCTAGTAGGGGCCTTCTGCGCCTACTGGAAGACTCAAAAGGCTGTTGTCATTCATCCACATGGTTAATCAGCTATAGATCAAATATGGCTGTGGCCGGAAGTTAACGAGAATTATTTTGTTATTTCGTATTGATTACATTTCCCAATTATTTGTATTTTATTAATGTCTACCCCTACCCATACCTGTCAACATTGGGATGTGAAAATAGAAAATAAGGGATATGCTTACCATAATAAGGGATTCCCCCAATCCCCCCCCCCCCCCTAAAAAAATCCCCAAATGACTAAATATGCTAATTTGAAGCTGTTTCATTGTAAATACACAGTTAAGTGGTTATTAATATGTTTTATTATTATTTGCAAAAGAAAAAATAAATATTGTATACATTAGCATCAAATAATTGGGCAAACAGTTCAGCCTATTAAAATTAATAGCTGTTATAATGTAATTGAATTAAGTTATCAAATCTCATGAGGCGTTTCTTCACTGTATGGCTCACACATTCTGATTAAAGAGCATCGAATGATTTATTTAGATGTTTTTCGTTTGACATAAAATAACAGAGGTGTCACTTTAAAACTGCACACATCTACCCTTATAATGAAAGCATTCGATTGCTTTGTTAACTTTTTATGCTCATTTAGGAGGAAATTACTTGTGTTTGAAAAAAAAAACACCAAGATCGACATCTTTAGATATTATAATTATTATTATTATAATTATTATTATTATTATTATTATTAGTTATTTGTATGTCTGTTTAAACACGCACCCAAAACCCAGACTTTTCCTCCGCTTCAAATCGCGTGTACAGAATCTGTTTAGGAAGCAGCGTTTGTTTATTACTATTGAGCGCATCAGCTGACAGTCACGCACCTCTATATGACTGTTTTGAGGATTGCATATGAAGTGGAGACGGCACCTGTAATGAAAAGGAAGGGAATTGCGCCGTTTCGGGAGGGTTGACAGGTATGCCCCTACCCCAACCCTAAACCCAACCATCACAGTAATGTAAAAACAGATCTGGAGTGTTCTCTATTAGCCAGAGATGTATAGTAACGAAGTAGAACTACTTCACTACTGTACTTAAGTACTAAAAGGCAGTATCTGTACTTTACTAGAGTATTATTTTTTTCTCCTACTTCCACTTTTACTTAAGTATATATTTTCCATGAGTTTAATACTTTTACTCCGATAAATTTTTTATGTGCTGCATCGTTACTCGTTACTAGGGGTGTCAAAATGATTGATATCAGTTCAGTAATAATAGGTCATACCCGGTTATTACGTGATGACGTCATTTATCTCCTATGCGCGATGTCGCAATACTATGGCGAAGGACGGAGGCGCGAGTGCGAGGCGGCACAGCATATCAGCCGCTAGTTTACTATTAGGGAGAAATGTTGTAAAACTTCACCTCTGCCTATCTCTCGCTCTCTCACTTTGGAAATTTGACCCGCTGGCCAGTTTGTAAGGTAACTTTTCCTCTCTTCTTAGCTGTTAAAGCTGTGGATCCAGACATGCTTCATGTGCAATTAAGTTTTCTCCACTGTGTCTATTACCTGTGATAATCGCGTATTTTTCCCGCCATGGGTGAACAGCGCTTATATTTCTAAAGCCCTTTCTGTTGAGGACAATAACCAATCATAGCCGTGTAAGACCCGCCTGTCAGCGCTCAAAAAGCAGGCGGGATAATATTGACATGAGTTTATTAGCTGTAAATGCTTGTGCTGTCTTCTGTGCATGAGTTTTGTTTGATACATCCAGAAAGAGTGTTTTCTTTGAGCAGGTCAAATTAAGGGCACAGTTCGTATATCTGACTGCTGTATTAAAGAACAAAATTGTATTAAAAATAACCCTATAACTGTCACACCAAGACAAAAGCAATAGAAATTTTTTGATTGCATTTCTTAACTCCTAATGTCGCTAGTTAACACAATCAGTGCATTTTTATTCAACACATCACATTATTTCTAAAATATCAGCCTCTACCAAATGGTTGAGATGTTGGTTTATGGTAAAAGTACCAGAATTAATAAATATACTACAGAAAATATGAACTGTAAGACCAATTTCATTAAAAACATGATAAAAATAAATAACAATTATTACTAAATCATAGCCATAAGCCATAAAATATTTCAGATTTTCATTTAACACAGTAATATACACATTTTCCTGTTTTTTTACAATAAAATCAAAATCAAGTGAATTTGTGAAGCAGGATTTAGTTTGCTTGTTTAGTTTAGTTTCACGAGTGCTTCCAGAAGACAGAACTCCTGTTTATTGTGGTATTAACCAATCAAACTTCAAAACTCCCAAAGTGTGAGTGTGTCTTTGTGTGTGTGTGAGTGAGAGTGAATAATGTGTGAGTAAGAGAAAACAACAGTGTGTGTGTGTGTGTGTGTGTGTGTGTGTGTGTGTGTGTGTGTAAGAGAGAGTGTAAAAACAATTGCAACCTATGTAATGTCCCCACAATACACAAAAATGTGTGTGTGAGGGAGAGAGAGATAGAGAGAGAACTGTGTGTGTGAGAGTGTATGAATGTGTGAGAGTGGGGAGAGAGTGTACATTTAGGTGTGTGCAGGGCAGTGTGTGTGTGTGTGTGTGTGTGTGTGTGTGTGTGTGTGTGTGTGTGTGTGAGTGTGTGTGTGAGAGAGAGAGAGAGAGAGAGAGAGAGAGAGTAAGAGAGAGTATGTATGTAAGTGAACATGCTGAATTATCTCATCAGTGAAGGCATTTTCTGGTAAAAGGGCCTGACGATGTGAGTTCTTGAACCATAGAAACTATTTACAGAGAAAAACAGTATCATAAGCCCTGTTTCTTTTCGTTCTGCTTAAGTACCCCAAAAAAGATATTTAAAATAAACAAAACAATTAGTGTATTTTGACTGCTTTCTTTAATAACTACATTACACAATACTTGTACTTTTACTTTCAGTACTTGAGTAGTAAATTTTGAAATAAACTACTTGCAATACTTAAGTACAAAAAATGTTGAATACTTTTGTACTTCCACTTAAGTATGGTGCTTAAAGAGCACTTCTACTTCTACTCAAGTCAATTTTTGATAAAGCACTTGTACTTTTACTTAAGTATGGGTCTCTAGTACTTTATACATCTCTGCTATTAGCATAGCTGATTAACCATGTGGATGGATGATAACAGACTTCTGAGCCTACCTGTAGGTGCAGAAGGCCCCTACTAGCCCATATCTAGAATTCATTTTTAGAAGATATAAACATGTAAAGCTGGTAGTTTGTCACTTCCGCCAGTATGGAGCAATGCAGAGCGTAATTTGTGCAAATTTGGAACTTACTTAACTTACGTCTGCAACATCCCTCCACCATCCGACACCCTGCTAAACACCCCCAGACGGATCCACACTGCAGTTCAGCAACGCCTGATGTCACCCATTCAAATTGAATGGGAAGCTTTGAAGCTGACGCCCCATGTGAATTTGGTGTTAGAATCGTCCTAATTCCCCCCCACCCAAATACCCAACAAACCATGAAGAAAAAAAACTCTAGGGGGCTTGACAAATTAGCATATTTCCAAAATAAATAATAAAAGTGGCACATTACCATTGGGTCATCATATATATACATATATATATATATATATATATATATATATATATATATATATATATATATATATATATATATATATATATACACAAACATACAGTATATGATATTTACACACACACACACACACACACACACACACACACATATTAAATATATATGTGTGTGTGTGTGTGTGTGTGTGTGTGTGTGTGTGTGTGTGTGTGTGTGTGTGTGTGTGTGTGTGTGTGTGTGTGTGTGTGTGTGTGTGTGTGTAAATATCATATACTGTATATTTGTGCTACATCAATGTAGAGTTGAAGGAAAAATTATTTTAATATTAAATTTTTTTAATATTTCCAGCGTTGTTTAACTGAGATGATTTTATCAACATGCTATTAAACATCAACATTTTAATAACTCATTTCTAATAACTTATTTCTTTTATCTTTGCCATGATTACAGCACATAATATTTTAGAAGATATTTCGCAGTATTCAGCTTAAAGTGCTATTTAAAGACTAAAGCTACAGTCACAGTAGAGTTTGTGTGTGCGCAATTCTGTCGTACGGCGCTGTGACTAAACAGGGGGCGGGACTAAACAGGTTTATTAGACATTTTTAAAAGCGAGCAATTGCTCTATGTTTTAAATTTCTGTCCAGAGAGGTCGTGTTTTGATCCTCGATTGTTCTCACGCAGTCAAGTGATGCGATTTCGCAGGTCAAAGTTCACCAAGCTTGAACTTTGCCCCTCAGCAACCTGCGAAACTTAACGCATGACCCTGCGTTTCCGGTCTGATGCATTCACATACGTATGAATGGAAGTCTATGGGAGGAAAAGCCCAGTGTGACCGCAGCTTTAACCAGATTAACTAGGTCAACAAGCTTAATTAGTTAATTAGTGGTTTGCTCTGCAAAAAAAAAAAAAAGTCTTAAGGGGCTATTGCATACTGAACTTACAAATTATTTAAGTAACCTTTATTCCAGCCAAACTAAAAGAAATAAGACTTTTTCTCCCCAGAATAAAACAGTCTAGCAAAAACTGTGAAAAGCTCTGTTTAACATCACTCGGAAAATATTCGAGAAAGATAATAAAAGCTGTATATTAGCCACATATAGCTGCGCCAGCACTGTGTCAAACCATGCATTCATAGCTCAAACCAAACAGAGTACGTGCAAATGCAAAACTCGCCTTTACCGAAGATTTACTATTCTGGCATGTATGCATAGATCATGTTTCCCAGCGATGTGGGAGGTTGTGATTAGGAATGCGTGTCACTCCATGAATGAATGCCCGTGCTCGGTGCTAAAGCATGCAAGTTGCGTGCAGGTAACAGTGAAAGGCCGTGCCCTGTACCTTTCTATTTTTACAATCCCCATCTGCGCAGTCTTGTGAGCTGCCCCACAGAGATGGAGAGGGTGATGAGCAGGAGTATGAGGGTGAGGGGGAGAGCTGACGGCCTGGCGAGGGGGACAGTGTGCCACAATCTGGGGTGGAGGACCGGGATTTTGGATGAACTTGGGGAAAGGCTGGAGATACTGGAGGTGTGTGGGGCAGGTGGGAGAAACCCGTAGGTTTGGGAGAGGGAGACAGTCTTAAAGCAGGGGATGACAAGAGCACTCTTTCCAAATCATTTTTGATTTTGTTGCCTTTGATAGTTAAATCTGGGGAATTGCTGTGTGATTCGAAAGTTGAGGGAGATTTACATGAATTCCGAGGTGGACTTGGTGCTGGGTTGTCAGATGAGCTTTCATTATGTTTCGAATAGGATGATTTCTGGATCTGTTTTAGCTCTACTGAATATTCATCAGGCCTGGGTTTTGTTTCAGCATGCATTACAGATGCTAAAGATTCAGGTACCTTATCAGTATCCACGATTGCAGGCTGTTTCCTTGATGCTAATTGATTTTTCTGCTTCTCAGAATCACTGTGGGATTCAAGTGAATGATAAAACGAAGGAGATTTACATGAATTCTGAGCTGAATTTGGTGCAAGGTGGTCAGCTGACGTTTCTTGAAGTTCCAAATAGGGCTCATTGGTTGGTTTCTGGCTTTTTTTAAGCTCTATTGAATATAAGTCTGATCTGGGTTTTGATTCAGCATGGGTTAGAGATCCTAAAGATTCCGGCAACTTGCTTGATCCCCTTGATGCAAACTGATCAATCTGATTCTCAGAATCACTGTGGGGAGATTTACATGAATTCCGAGTTGGATCTGGAGTTAAATTGTCAGCTGACCTTTCTTTAAGATTCGAATAAGCCTCATTGGATGATTTCGGTTTTAGCTGTACTGAATATTTGATATCTGACCTGTCATGGGGGTTTGTTTCAACATCTGTTACCAATGATAAAGATTCAGGAAACTTGTTTGTATCCACAATTGCAGGGGATTCCCTTGATGCTAATTGATTTTTCTGGTTCTCAGAATCACTGTGGGATTCAAATATGTGATGAAAGGAAGGAGACTTGCATGAATTAGGAGCTGAATATGGTGCTGAATAGTCAGCTGAACTTACTTTACGTTTCGAATAGGGCTCGTTTGATGATTTCTGACTCTGGTTTAGCTCTATTGAATAATTGTCTGATCTGGTTTTTCTTTCAACGTGCCTTACAGATGCTAAAGATTCAACCGACTTGTTTGTATCCACAGATGCAGGACAATCCCTTGACCCTGATTGATTTGTCTGGTTTTCAGTGCCGTAGTAAAGCAGAGAGCTTGATTTAGGAGACAAGCGGCTCATATGGGAGCCACACAAAAGAGAGCTCGGAACTACCGGCAAACGATTTACCCTATGACTTAATTTGGACAAGTGAGAATGGGCAGTTTGGACTGGAGGTAAGCTTGAGGATGGGGTGTAATGTGTGTGTAACTCTACCCTGCTACTACTAGGGAAAGGTTGGCATGAGTCAAATCTTTCTGATGGCTTTGTTGGTATGGTTTCCTCAGCTGTCTTAACCTTTGATGAGACTAAAAGAGAACTTTGGTCTTGCTTCTGAAGTTCTGAATAATGGCAAGACTCCCCACCTGATCGATCAATGGCAGTGCAAGACTTTGCTTTGGGCACGTTCATGGGTGCAACAGAAGAGGCAGCTGAGCATGCTAAACATGAGGACACGTTAACCGGACTGATAGGCCAGCAGGGAGTGTAAGGTCTTTGAGAAGAAGAGGATAGAACAGGTAGACGACCTTTTCTGAGAATAGCTGTTAACAGGGAGAGCTGGGTTGGAGGGAGTCTGTGTCGGCCACGAGGTGAAAGGGGACACGGTGAGGTTGCCCGACTATCACAGCATGGTGTCCCGCAAGTGGACGGCATGTGTAGCAAACTAGACCCCGGAGCCAAAGAGTGCCGTTTGATTCTCACCACAGAAGGTGTGAATGTTCCTGATCTTATAGAGGAACATGGGGAAACTGTGCGAGATCCATCCCGTGAGAACATGTAAAAGCCTGACCAGCTTCTTTCTTTGTCCCATCCCTCGGAGAGTATAGACTCTTTTGAAGACATTGGAGAATTGAAAAAATCCACAGAGCTGGCAGGACTGAGGGCCTCTTGTCTTTGGGATGAGCTATTTAAAAACGGACCTGAGCTGACCTCGGCAGCCTCTGATATGTTGTGAAATCCAAGCTGGGAAACGCTGGGTTGTTTGTTATCAGTGGTTTCTATGACAGCAGGGCCAGGCTCGGGGGATACGGCAGTAAATTCTGTAGGAGAACCAGTGAGGGTGGTGGGTGGTTTAAGCGTTAAATTGTCTGTGGACTGAATCTGAAGGGGGGAATAGAAATGAAAGAAACATCAACTCACAGAACTCATTTTAATAATGATTACAATGATGTCTAATTGTTGATTGCTGGAGAATGCTCAACACATCAATTCCACACAGGGGTTTATAAAAGAAGCATGTTTGCTTTTGTAAGCTGATACAGTAAATCATAACTGAAAGGATATCTAGATTTTAAGGGGATAGTTCAACCCCCCAATTTGCTTCAACCCAGGCTCATTCTGAAAACGTAGTCCGGTGGACGTTTCTGGAGACCACGAAATACGTCCCGGGAGGTACGTATTTTTGCAGTTTTTGTTTTCGTGAATCCCAGGAGAGGCCGCCGTGTGCACTTTTTCGCATCTCAAATGTCTCTCGCGAGTGCATTCGCGCCCTCGCTGTTCTCCCATAAACCCACCAGAGGCCGCTGTCGAACGACTGTCCATCAGGCTGACTGAATGATTGACTGGCCAATCGGCTGACCCACCCTTCTCCTTGCCTAAACCCAACCAATTTTACCGATTGACCCGCCTACCCGCTTACTTCCCTAAACCCAACCAACAATTTACAAAAGCTGTCCAGAAAAAGAAATGCCCTTTTCTGATTTTTACCACGTTCTCAGATTTTACCACATTATCACCCTGTTATGAACTTATTTTTGGACTCTGTTTTTGTCTTACCTGCCTTCTGGAACCGCTCTTCCCCCGGTTATCATCATAGTCGAAGTCCGCCGAAGTACACAACTTGCTAACTAGACAAACTGGTTGCAGTGGGAAAGCCTCCACACGTAGGTTAGCGGTCAACTGGTAAGCGTGAAAAGGAACGGCATCATACCGCCCCGTAGCGTTCACTTTAAAAAATGAAATGCAGCCATACGTACCTCCGGCTACATAATTCAAAGTCTCCAGAAACGTCTGTGGGACTACGTTTTCAGAATGAGCCTGGGTTGATTTGCTGTGGTTCTAAAATGTTTAGTAGTCTTCTTCATTAGTTTCTTTTCTTGAACACAACACTAGATATTCCTGATAGTTTTGGGGGTGGGGTGGGTGGGGAGCAGCCAATGGCATCTATAGTGGGAATAAAAAATACTCTTGAAGTCAATGGCAACATGCTTCGATATCTCCATTTGAGTTGGATAGAAAAAAGCAGTTTAGATCAAGCGGAGGATGAGTACCATAAATGATGACCATGTCCATTTTGGGGTTGAACAATCCCTTTAAATATTCTGTTACACCAGAAGCAATACTTAAATGCAAATTATGCTCGACCATGTGACCAAAAACATCTGCTTCAGCACAGAGATGTAGGCCTGTTAAGACAGAAGTGTCCAATCCTGTTCCCAGAGGTCCATATAGGTAGAGTTCAACCCTAATTTAAACCCCCCAACCAGCTAACAGAGAGCCACTTGCATTCAAAACCACATACTGTCTGAGTAGGTACTGCATTTGTTCTATATTGTATCAACATGAATAATATGAACGGAATTTGCATGTTCTATACATGCTATCTTGCCTTTGTCTTGACTGTGTGGGTTGCATTGGTTCACTTTCATGTATGAATCATCTATTGGTGGTCCATTGATTGCATACTTCAGAATAAAAGCAGACGCAAATTGTCATCCGGGTATTTCTTGCCCATTTTTCTTACTCCTATTCACCCTATTCTTCGCGTATGAGTGGGCACAGCGATGTGAATCATTTTGGATCGAGACTTCCGCTCTCATTCACTTCCATTTAGTTTTAGACGTTAAAAACAGCATGTTATGCTGCTTGATGTTGCAAACTGACATTTTCTTATTATATGATTCTGCTTTGTCTGTATAGTCCTGCAAACACTTCTTTGTAGAGCGAGTAGTTTAATAGTTTCTGGAGTTGATGAACTCACAGAGCTGGATGCACCTCTAAAAGGATCATAATGGACTCAGACATGGCGCCGAACCTAACTACGCTGTTTTTCAGCCTTTCTAAAACAAATAAAGCACAGCTACTCTCTCAATAAAATCCATGTTAGCCATTTAGCAACAAAGCTAACGTCACCAGGCAGACAGAAGCCCTGCCCATGACACGAATCCATGTCTATTGTGAAGTGAATTTGACGAGCGAATGAAGCGAGTAAACTTCCCACCTCTATTTACATGCGAGTAGCGCAATTTGTTTGCATGTTCCGCATCTGGCATGAACACAGCATCACAGTGCATTGTGGGTATTCTCTTCCTATTGAGTTTGCATTGGTTGTACATTTGTAACTACAATGCATTGTGGGATTGCTTAAGTGCACTTCAGAACGTCCGCTATGGTTTCGGACACCAGTACAAATGGCTGGTTCTTTAAATAGTGCATTATTTAGTGTTAAAGGGGCATATACAGCTTATGAATGCAGACATGCTACACATATTGTCTTTTACATCCTATATAATAAGAAAGGGCGACATGATAGCTCAGTGTTTAGCACTGTGGCCTCACAGCAAGAAGGTTGCTGGTTCAAACCTCTATGAGGAGTTTGTTCTCCCCGTGTGGGCTTTCTCCGGGTGCTCCGGTTTCCCCTACAGTCCAAAGGCACGTTCTATAGATTAGTTGGGTAAACTGGAATAGCTGGCGGTTCATTCCACTGTGGTGACCCCTGATAAATAAGGGACTAACCCAAAGGAGAATGAATGAATATGATTGAATTTCAGACAAGCTTCCTTGAAAGTGTATTGGAGCTAGTTGAAGTGAATCTCTTAACCTCCATTAACATGATTGGACACCCCTGAATTATAATATCAAACAACAGGGATCAATTGGGCTTTCAGAAATCCAATATGTTGTATTCCTGATTGTATTCGCACTGAGGCAACGCTCAAACAATATCTTTAATGTTAATTTAGTTATTCCCGGCAACAAACTTAATAATAATCTTTAAGTTTAAGCAACTCAACTGGGCAAGCCCACAGCACAAGGAATCTTTGAAAGACATTTTAGGAGGAGTCATCATGTTTAAGCTGACTGACACAGATTAATTAGACACAATAAACATTCCTATCCATCAATCGCTCGGTCAGAACATGATCTACCTTTTAAGTGCCCTAATGCGTGTTTAATTAACATGGGACCACAGCTATCTCCGATCAGCACAGAAGATAGCCTGGCGTGTGACTAGCATACTCATTATCATGATGTCTCTCATTAGTGTTAGGTTAAAAGATATTAAAAAAGTCATCCCAAAGCAACTTGAATTATTACAATGTACCCTACGCTCAGGCTTTTATCTCTAAATCCCTTCTTGAAAAGCCTGAACAGCTTGTTTCCTGGTCTGTCGTTAGGTATTTATATGTAAATGTGGCATTTTACCCCCCCAAAAAAACGTTCAGACAGAAGTTAAAGAGCGATGTTTCATCAAGAGCTTTGTGCTCGGTGTGATTTCACCAGGCAGGACATACTCCTGGATTAACATCTATGTTGATCCTGGAACAACGTTCCAATCAGCCAATCAGAATTAAGGGATGCATTTACAGTTTCAGTCAAGCTTAGTTTATGTACTTCAACATGGTTGCTATCCAACTATTATTCCCATCTGCTTTTGGGAATAATTTACAGTTAGGGTTGGGTTTAGGGCAGGGGTGGGCAAACTCAATCCTAGAGGGCCGGTGTCCTGCACAGTTTAGCTCCAACTCTAATCAAAAACACAACCCGGGCTCACTGTGGAAACGTAGCCCCGCGGACGTTTCTGCGGACCGCGATTTACATCCCGGGAGGTACGTATTCGAGCGGTTTTTTTGTTTTCGCGGATCCGCGAGAGGCCGCTGTGCGCGCTTTTTCGTGTCTTGGGTGGGCGCCTCTCGGGAGCGTGCGGCGTTCGCGCCGGCGCCATTCTCGCGCGAAAAGCCGCCGGATCGAAAAAAAAAAAAAGCAAAAGCCCTCGTCTTCGATTTCGACCGCGTTTTCGGATCCCGCCGCGTTCTCGCCCTTATTTTCCGGATTCCGTTTTTCGTCTTACCTGATTTCCAGAACCGCTCTTCCCCGGACTCAATCCCGGTTGTCGTCCACCGCGGCCGGCTCCTCCTCCTCCGAGGCCTCCGCTCCGCCGACGCAACTATGTGAGCTAGGCGGACAAACTGATTGCGTCGGGAAAGCCCTCCACTCGGAGGCGAGCCGTCGGCCGGCGAGCGCGAAGAGGAGGAGCGGAGCAGCGCCACACCGCCCCGCAGCGTTCGCTCGAAACCTCCGGCCACGTAAATCACGGTCTCCAGAAATGTCCGCAGGGCTACTTTTCTAGAATGAGCTTGGGTTGCAAAAACACCTGCTTATAGTTTTCTAGTTGAAGACACTCATTAGCTTGCTCAGGTGTGTATGATTAGTATTGGAGCAAAACTGTGTAGGATACCGACCCTCTAGGATCGAGTTTGCCCACCCCTGGAATGGCATTCCAGGATCAACATAGATGTTAATCCAGGATCGCATCCTACTTGGCGAAATCCCACCTGCTGAGATATGACGTGCAACAAACATACCAAAATACTCACCTCGTTTTGAGTGGTGTTCTTGCGCATTTCTCCAATCTGGCCATCTTCAGCGTCTTGCACGAAAACCACCTCAGCCTTGTAGACTCCTTCTTCTGCCATGCTCTTCTCACAGTCCCCTGGCTCTCCTGAAGACTGACATTGAACAGGAGATGTTACAAAGCCACACCAAATCGGAAACGGCAGCTGTCCCAAAGCAGGCCCCTACTACCGACGGCTATTTCTGGCTCCCGTGCATCTTGCCGATATACAAGAGTGAATGCATTTATATGTGCGTGTGCTCCAGCTTGAACATCTTTTCAGCAGAAGACCATGTCCCTCGTGTATTGCTCACATGCAAGCACACATGACCCACCCTGATTGTGTAAGCCCTTCAGCAAATGCCTTTCACATTTTCCCTTTTACACACACATACAGGTCCCCTTTTGGTCAAAATAAAAAAATAAATCTTCACCGGAGGCCTTTTAACTTGATTTAAGGCATGCACAATAGGAGACCTGAAAAAGGTTCCCTCTTAGAGAGGTAGGCAACTGCACACACACAGAGATGTGGGTTATTCTCTGCTGAGGGACTGTTGGTAGATTCATAATCACTCCCTTTAGAAGTCACACTCCTCCTGGTCACATATTTGTGATTTGAAGCAACAGTTCAGCCAAGTTCCTCCAAACAATTTTGTATTTGACTTAGGATTCGATATACATCGTTCATCCTCCAGGTCAAAAATGACCAGCCTTTACTAAACCTCTAAAATAAAGCAGCAAAATTTATTTTCAATCCTCAAATGTCATCATCATCACAAACCCTGTGAATGTGAAGGTTTACCCTAGTCAGTTTAAAGTATTTCATCAACGTTTAATCATTGGGCAACACTCTTATTTGACTAAAGCAAAGATTTGTGCTTAATGTGAAGGTTATAAGAGTAAAAGATAACTATTTTCTTCTAGAACCACTCAGCATACTCACTCTCCTCTGTGGCACAATATGAACCTACTTTCTTGTGGACAACCTTTTAATCAGCCATCATGGGCCAATAAAGGTATTGATTTGATTTGATCTATTTATTTTCAAACTGAAATATCATACTCATCACATCATTAACAAAAAATACAATTCAACATGATCGAACATGGAGTGGGATGAAGCACAAGCGTATTATTTTCCCACACCATTACCACACGCATCATTCGTCTATTACTTAAACTTATTTCTTCTTTTATTTATCTCGTCTTTTTACATGAGACATATTTTATCATTCTTTGACAAATCATATGTTTGATTCCATTTGTACATTTACATTTTGTAACATGTATATGAAATGTTGTAAATGTAATATATATGTAAATAGCTATGTAAAATAGCTATACTGGCACGCACACACACACACACACACACACACACACACACGCACGCACACACACACACACACACAATAAGAATCTGCTGATTTAACTTGAATATTATATTGCCATATACTGTATTGCTATATATATATATATATATATATATATATATATTTATATATAGTATCGTCACATTGGAATTCTAAGGTTCTATCTGTGTTCTAAATGATTTTGAGATTTTGAGCTTCAAAGTTTTTGCTTTCCAGCAAAAAATATGTGTGTAACAGTTCTCTTTCATACATTAACATAACAGAGACCCTAAATGTACTTTAAATGTAAATTATCAAACTTCTCTTACATTTGCAAATTGAAGTAAAAAATGATAAACAAATGCAGATAGAAGCTTGTAAAAAAATATTTCCCACTTGGAATCGTAAGATATCTGGCAGATCATAAATTGAAGCATTACTTTTCAAGAAATAAAGTTAATATATATATAAAATGTAATATATAAGACATATTTAAGATATATATATATATATCTTAAAATGTAAACAACTTATAAAAAAATCACAGAATGTGAATAAGTTGTCATTTAATAAGAATATGTGAATAACTCAATTTTAACAAAAATGTCAGATAGAACCTTATAATTGTAAGGTGACTATTTATATATTTATTGCTTTCTGTTTGATATTATTATACATACTTTCTCAAAAGAAAGACTATGACTATCTGGTATGTCTCTGCCCAATATAACTATCGATTAAGAATAGAATATATTCTACCCCATCACCCCTTCCCTAAACCCAAGCAACAGTGTTTTCAAAAGCACAGATTGACCCAACATTGCATTACCTAAACCCAACCGATAGTGTTGTCAAAAACATCAACTGACCCACCCACCCACTCACTTCCCTGAAGCCAACCGATAGTGTTTTCAAAAGCACCGATTGACCCCATCACCCCTACCCTAAACCCAAGCAACAGTGTTTTCAAAAGCACAGATTGACCCAACATTGCATTACCTAAACCCAACCGATAGTGTTTTCTGAACCACCGGTTGACCCTATCGCCCCCTTCCCTAAACCCAACCGATAGTGTTTTCAAAAGCATCAAATGACCCGATCACAATCCCTGAACCCAAGCGAGCGTTTTCAAAAGCACCAATTGACCCAACATTGCATTACCTAAACCCAACCAATAGTGTTTTCAAAAGCACCGATTGACCCCATCACCCCATCCCTAAACCCAAGTTACAGTGTTTTCAGAAGCACCAATTGACCCAACATTGCATTACCTAAACCCAACCGATAGTGTTGTCAAAAACATCAACTGAATTGAGTGTGGCACACACAAAGTAAGCAGTTAACCTATATTTGCTTTCTGTTTGAGGGACACAGCATGGCATAATATCTCTCAGGAGTGACCCTCACCTTTGCTCTGTTTGTCTGAAATACTTTCCTCCAGACCCTGTTCTCAGCAGGCAGCCTTTTCAGAAATGGCACGAAGGGGAAAGACTTGAGCTTGGTTGCAAATACCGTGGTGACCTGTAAATAAACACATATTATTAAAGTGATTTCAACTCACGCAGAGAAACAGCGAGGAGCAGATGGAAACAACAAAGAACCATCAAGCTTCTGTTGGCACGAACAAATGACCGAATCAAAATGAGTGCCGTATCCGGATGAGCCGTAATGTTTCAGACTCATATTGTCTGATTGGAGCATTCAGTGTCACAACAACATTTACAACAGCGCTGTTTTCAGTCTAAGACACAAATCAAGAGCTGTGATTTTAAATATCATGCTACATACCATTTCATTTCACCATCATGCATATTTATCTAGCTTTCCGCAGAACATATTTAGTCAACAGAAAGCTCTGAAATGTGTGCATGTCTTGCTAATAGAGACAGAATTTGACGCTTCTTAAAAATAAAAAGAATTGAAAATGTGTTTAGACTTTTGTTTAGCCACACTTTATTCATTTTAAGATAGAATCCACAATATTAATCAACCGTTAACTATGATTTATGCTCAATAAACTCCTAATTTGCTGCTTATTAATAGTTATTAGGGTAGTAGTTGGGTTTGGATGTAAAGTAGGATTAGAGATTGATCACTCAGTGCATTCAGGTGCTTTATAAGTATAATAAACAGACAATATATTATTAATTTTCCGGAAGGGCATCCGCTGTGTAAAAATGTACTGGGTAAGTTGGCGGTTCATTCCGCTGTGGCGACCCCAGATTAATTAAGGGACTAAGCTGACAAGCAAATGAATGAATATATTAATATTAAGCAGATAATAAGCCACTAGTCCATTTATTTATTCATTGTTTCTTCCGCTTAGTCTCTATTTCAGAGCAGAATAAACCGCTAACTTATCCAGCATATGTTTTAGACAGCGGATGCCCTTCCAGCTGCATCCCAGTACTGGGAAACACCCATACACTCTCACATTCATACAGTACAGCCAATTTTGTTCATCAATTCGCTTATAGCGCATGTGTTTGGACTGTGGGGGAAACCAGAGCACCCTGAGGAAACCCACACCAACACAGGGAGAACATGCAAACTCCACAAAGAAACGCTAACTAGACCAGATTTGAACCAGAGACCTTCTTGCTGTGAGGTCACAGTGCTAACCACTGAGTACAAAGTAACTTTAAAATGTTTTACCTTCTGCAGCGCCGCTGGCATGGAACGGTCTGCGAATGCCAATGTGTCTCCCAGACTGCATTAAGCTGTTGTATACTCATTGGATTGCAGGAAAGACAAAGGGCTTCATTCAGAGTGTAAATGTAGGAGTTCGGGACGGCCCTTCCTGATCGCTGTTCAATATCTGACAATGATTGCTTTTGCGAGGAATATGATGTTTGTGATCACTTGCAGATGTCATATAACTATTCGATTTAAGACACACCTTCTCGTTTTTTCAACATAATCAATGTCTCTCTTGTGAAATATTATCAAAAGTGTGGGATTTGAGTAGAGATTAAAACTATTTGCAGCCTTTGTTCATTGTCTGAACCAACTTCATGAGCTTGAAAACAGGACTTTTGATGCATCTTCGACGTTTATTGAGTGTTATTTATTTGACATTTATTATGTGTTAAGAGTTTTCGTCTTGTTTATAGTCCAAATATCTGAACATTTGTAAATCAAGAAGCATTTTCTTGACAAGTGAAAAATACTGTTTTGTTTTCAAAAGTAATAAGCCAAAATGAAGTGAGTTTTTCCCTAAAACAAGCAAAATAATCAGTAAAAATAATATATTATTATTAAAATAATCAATTTCAGTAAGTGAAATAAAAGAGGAAAGACAAAGGCCTTCTGTACACTGCAAAAAATGTTTTTCTAACTTAGATTTTTCTGTCTTGTTTCTCGTCCAAATGTCTAAAAATTCTCATATCAAGAAGCATTTTCTAGGCAAGCAAAACATATTGTCTTGTTTTCAGAAATAACATGCAATATTAAGTAAGTTTGTCCTTAAAATAAGCAAAATAATCTGCTAATGGGGTAAGCAAAATAATCTTGTTTTTCCTTTTGACATAAGATTATTTTGCTTCCCCCATTGGCAGATTTTTTAACTTGTTTTAAGGAAAAACTCACTTAATTTTAGCATATTATATCTTAAAACAAGACAATATGTTTTGCTTGAAAATTCTGCTTGATTTAAGAGTTTTTAGATATTTGGACTGAAAACAAGAAAAAAAATCTAAGTAGGAAAAGCATTTTTTGCAGTGTAGATGTAGGAGTTCGGGACGGCCCTTCCTGATCCCTTATTAATATCTGACAATGATTGTTTTTGCGAGGAATATGATGTTCGTGATCACTTGCAGATGTCATATAACTATTCAAATTAAGATGCACCTTCTCGTTTTTATAACATAATCAATGTCTCTCTTGTGAAATTGTTTATAGTCCAAATATCTAAACATTTGTAAATCAAGCGAAAAACACTGTCTTGTTTTCAAAATTATTATGCCAAAATTAAGTGAGTTTTTCCCTAAAACAAGCAAAATAATCAGTTAAAATATAATATTATTATTAAAATAATCAATTTTATTAAGTGAATTAATCTTGTTTTTCCATTTAACAGAAGATTATTTTGCTTACTCTATTGACAGACTATTTAGCTTGTGTTTAGGAAAATTTTTATTAATTATTTTTAAGTTCATCAGGAACTTAAAAGGTCAGGCACAAAAGTAATTATAATTGCAATGTTACTTAATACTCAGATATTGTAGCATTATTAGACTTATTATTTCTTAAAACAAGGAAATGTGTTTTGCTTGTCTAGAAAATGCTTATTAATTTAGGAATTTTTAGATATTTGGACAAGAAACAAGACAAAAAAAAAACTCTGAAACCTGAAAAGCCCAGACAGCAGCTGAAATCTCTCAGTAGTTCTTCAGCAAGCCTCTGCCCTTCCTCAGTGTAAATGAACATCAGCTGCTTCAGTTCAACATCTACATTAGCAGGAGGATGAATATGAAACCATTTCAGCAAGACAATGATCCACAACACAGCCAAGGAGACTTTCAGATGCTTTCAGAGAAAGAAAATCAAGCTGTAGAATGGCCCAGCCAATCACCTGAACTGAATCCAATGGAGAATGCAAACTAAAATTTGATAGACGAGACCCACAGAACTATCAAGATTTTTGACAGTCTGTGAGAAACTCACATCTGAGCAATGCATGTGTCTTTATTCTCCATATGAAAGGCGTTTGAGCTGCCATCAAAATAAAAGCCTTTTATATAACGCAGTAAATACATTTTAGCAGTTCAGTACTTTTTCCATGTGTAACTCTATCATTATAAAACTACCAATTTTTTCAGATTTCTTGGGTTTGTTTTGTTTTTATGTTTGTATTTTTTGGGTTTTTACTAAAATCTGGTTTAATTCCATGTCAACAGCTCCTTTAGGAATATTATTCCCAGGAAAAAAACATGACAATAAGTTCAATAGTTATTTCCCCTGCTGTATGTATTGATGGGTTTGGTGTTTTTAATCTGAAAGTGAAAATAATAATTTAAACTGAAATAAAATAGGAGTACTCCTAATGTTGTTTTGGTTTTGTTTGTTTTTTTATAAACAAAAATGTATATCTAATAAATGTGGATTGTTTTTAAAAGGTCATGAAATTCAAGGAATTTAAACTATGTTGCGCATGATTCATGGGTGTTTTCCATTTACTTATAATATTGAGTTAAACAATGGGACATTGTTCTGACAACTTCTGAGGCAAAAAGAAAATCTGTCTTTTATTTTGTTCTAAAATGTTGTGTCAAGCTTGAAGAAATGTCAAAAAAAAATCCCTGCAGAGTTACAGTTTTACTTAAAAAGTTAACGAAGGAGAGATCAAGATCCCACAAAACAATCTGAAAGTGTAAACAATTGGAAAGAAAACAGATGAATCACGAGCTAAGCGAAACCGTTAATTAACAGATGTTTATTTTCAGTGTGATTGGTGGTTCATTTGTTTGCACAGCTAAAAATTACATGTAAAGTTATGGCACGTGTATTCGAAATGTGATGTTGAGGAGTGTGTTTTAGGAAGATACATATGAGAACAATTATTTGCTGAATAAAATTTTAAATAAATCAACAATATCAAAAAGGACAGACTATGCAAATAACCAGGAATTCACTAGAATTTGACCCCAGGTCCATTTTTCAAGCCTAAAGGCTTATTCACACCCAGAATGACAACTATAAAAATGTGGATACGGCTCTGATTTTAATGCAATGGTCCACACCACAACTATAATGATGAGAGTGGAAGAAATATATCACTGGAAATGTTTTCCTTCTTCCTTGAGTGGTTAAAGAAACACAGCTTTTTTTTTTTTTTTTTTCATTTTACAAATCCCCTGGTTACTTGTAGCTTAGCTTAGCATAAATCATTGAATCCAATTAGACCACTAGCATCTTGCTCAAAATTGACAAAAAAAAAAAGTGTTTTGATAATCTCCCTATTTAAAGGCTGACTTAAAAAATGACTTTTTCAATCTGTAAGTGAAGAAAAACTCTACATAAAATAAAATTAAATAATTAAAAACTTAAGTTTAATTAAATTAAATTAAATTAAATTAAAATTATCAAATATAATAAGGGCGAGGCAGTGGCGCAGTAGGTAGTGCTGTCGCCTGACAGCAAGAAGGTCGCTGGGTCACTGGTTTGAGCCTCAGCTCAGTTGGCGTTTCTGTGTGGAGTTTGCATGTTCGCGTGTGTTTCCTCCGGGTGCTTCCCAGAGATGGGTTGCAGCTGGAAGGACATCCACTGTGTAAAAACTTGCTGGATAAGTTGGTGGTTCATTCTGCTGTGGTGACCCCGGATTAATAAAGGGACTAAGCCGACAAGAAAATGAATTAATAAATACAATAATTATTTAAAAAAAAAAAAAAAAGGAGTGCATCAAATGTTGTTTAACCCGAGACTATTAGCATCTCGCTCAAAAAAAAAAAAAGGAAAGCCGCTGTTGTCGTTACTGTATTTCTGTGAGCGGCTACAGCACAAGCTTTAAAGAAATGAACTGT